TTTGCATTGAAATTTATTTAATATTTGGATCGTTTCGTTAACACTTAAGGAATGCATTTCATAGCAGCACTAATAAATGTAGGAATGTAAGTAGTATGTATGTATGTGTATTAGCGTGGGCCGAAAATCCGCTTTTTTTTACAATTTTGATTGGTTATAGCAAAAATATGGTTCATAATGCTCTAAAAACAATCTGTGTGAAAGATGACAATTTTTGGCCAATATCTTAGGCTCGTCCAAGTCCATCAAAGCTCAAGTGCTAAACAAATTTTTGATCTGATTATCGGATGATGATTCAAGACATGACTTGGTTATAGTAACTGACTTCTTTCTGAGTGTAAGTAGGCGCCAAATGCAACTTAAAACTAAAAGATAATCCATTTGTGACCTAATATTAAGACGCTCATGACGATCTATAAGCAAAGCTAGGTCCAACATCCAACAGCTTATTAAGCCCTGCAAGAATTCGAGAAAATCTGCATCATTCTAAGCACATTGCAGAACATTGCGCACTTTTCTTTGCACGATTCTCCTTCTGTTGGAATGACAGCTTTAATTAGTGTATCACGCATGGAGTGCCTTAATTCAAATGGATAGTCGTACGCACGAATGCAAATGACTTGTACATACGTATGTAAGTATATTAGGGTGCTCCAAAAAAAGGGTAAAATCGGAATTTTAATGCGCTCACCCCCTACGATTGCTCAATACAAAAAAAAAAAAATATTACCCGTTTTTTCTTTTAAAATCGAAAAATGTAGATTTTCAAGAATTCTATGCCACATAAAATATATGGAAAACGAGCGCTTTGAGCGACCTCTAAGTATTTTTAACCGACTTCAAAGAAAGGCGGAGGTTATCAATTCGTCGGCATATATTTTTACCGCATACATTTAGACCACGTCAACCGATTTCTATTTTTTAAGGAAAGGTAATGCCTCAGAGGTGGTCCCATACTAATTTTGTTTAGATCCGATCATTGGATCATGAAGAAATTAACGGTACTCTTAAATTTTTAAATGATAATTAAAAATTACTTGTTTTATTTAAAAAAAAAAGGGGTAAGGTTTTTTTCGATATAGCACAATCCTAGGTGATTAGAGCATTCAAATTCTGACTTTACTTTTTCATATGCATTTTTGGACCACCCTACTGTACATATGTATGCAGTGCAGAAGAATAAACAAGCAATTGAGATTTTACGCAGGAAATGCAGTTAAAAATACATTAGCCGTTTACGGCAGTTACAAATCGCTTTCGCCAGAATGCATTGTTTAACAGAAACGGATAGTTAGAAGAGTTATAACTGCAAAGAAATTAAAGAGATGGTCTTTGAAGCGCAACATTAATCGGCGAAGTGGCATCTATGTATAAAAACCTAATGTTCAAAGGGATTAGGCGAGAGAAGACATTGAGTGATGACAGCGGTGAAGACTTAATGGCAAAGTACATACATATGTATGTACTGTTATTGCAGTTTAGCGTGACATACTTTTGTTGTACGTTAAGCTTTGGACAAAAAAAGAAGCGAAGCAGTAAGAGCAACTTATACGAAAAATGGATTCGCTTGGTACCGCTGGAGTCGAGATAAGTATTTGAGAAAGTATTGATACATAGATACATATGTACATGTAGGACGCAATTTGATAAGTCGTGACTTTTTGAAATTATGAACAATTAATTATATTCCATGCTAATTAAAATTTAACGTTCTGAACTATCAGGTAAAATGTATTTTTTTAAATCATTAATATTTCATGATGCGTAATTATTCAAAAGTACCGAGTGGTGTTAGTTGGCTAAGCGGCTACTGAGAAACAGTATTTCTTTATAAGTGCATAAGCGATGCCACGCCTATTTTCTTATTCTGTGCCAAAATTCTATTTTTCTTTTCAACCTTGAACGATTTGGATCTAGTATTTATAGAAATATCGTAGTTTTTTGCATTTTTCGAAAATACCGTTATATGGGAGATGGGTGTGGTTAACGTCCGATTTGGTCTGTATTCAATACCAACCTACCTTGAATGAAGGGCAACCTTTATACCAAATTTCGTTGAGATATCTCAATTTTGGTTTGAGTCATCGTGTACACGGTCAGACGGACACACATAGCTAAATCGGCTTCTCCTTATATTCTAAATATATGACTATATTAATTTAACATAATAAATAATTTGAATTTAGTTGTTTAAGAGGTGGCAAATCTTAAAAAAAAGAAATACTTCTATTGTACGCCTACAGGTCAAAATTGTTATATGACACCTCATTTTTTTAAATCGAACGAATCGTGCAGATCTGCTGGCAATGACTAAAAGTTGTGAAACAAATATTTTATGCTTAGGATAAAACGTGAATGTCTAACGCACGCATACGGATACGCATGCTTTGGAGGTCCGCCTTTATTTCAAAAAGTGCAAAAAAATAGCAGGGTTTTATTTTCTCTTTCGAAACTTAAAAACCCGTACTATATATATATAGATATACTTTTACATACATATATTTTTTATTCATTCCATCACATTTTTCTTCTTCCATAAAGTAATCAGCTTTCGCAATTATCTTGCTTTTGTCGATCTCTTTATTCAAAATTACAAGCAGTCGCTATTAATTTGCAAATGTACATGCAAGTGTAGTGCCTTTAACAGCTCACACGTGCAATCAACCGTCCTTCTGTATATTCTTCCACATCACAAAAAAAAAAAATAAAAATAAATCGATTCTCATCAAAATGTAATGGAATCCATATTGTGATTTACGTCAATAATTCTAAAATTTCGAACCAATCAACCAACGCCCACATTTGAAACAAACCATTTCTAATCTGAAATTACAAAATGCAAACTCCCCAGTGGGAAAATGTAATGTATAGTAATCGAAAAAATAATCAGTAAAACAACCCAGGGCGATATCCTAGGAAAAGTGGGGCATTCAATTTTGCATTGCCTAGTATCGAGAAATGAATGTGTTTTAATATGAAATTTCTGGAACGTTTTGAAGACATTAGAATGCTGATTACATAGTTAACAGTAATATAATCGAGAACTACATTACATTATTTATCACGCATGTAATGCATTACTACTTTTCCGACTGGGTCTTTATAGACACACCAGCATGCGCTCAAATACATTTCTACCCATTTTAATTAGAATGTCACAATGAAAGCGTAGGGTCAGCACAGTTGGTTACAGTGGATAATTCACGAGTTTTGACGTTGAACAACTCTTATGGTA